AAATGTAAATGTAAATATAAATATAAATATAAATATAAATATAAATATAAATGTAAATATAAATATATATATGTATATATGTAGACTATAGAGATGTAGAGATACAGACACACACACACACATATGGAGAGAGAGAAAGAGAGAGAGAGAGAGAGAGAGAGATACTTCATCCATGCCTGCCTGCCTGCCTGCTTGCCTGTTGGACAGACACCTCTCCGGCCTCGCATGGTGCAATGGCCTCCAATGGCTTCCAGCCGCCTCAAGCTCTCGCAAGGCGGCGGACCTGCTTTGGGCATCTGGACCGCAGACTGTGACAGCTCAGACGCTTCGCCTTGTTGCGCAGCTCGTCCTGCTCACGCTGCAGCGCCTTGGCTAGAGCCTAAAGGGCCTAATGACAGGCTCATGGCTCTGACCGCACCTCGTAGTGTGCTCGCATGGACCGGGCCTCCTGACTTGCTTTCCGAAAGGTTTGTGGCAATTGACTTCGGATCACCAGGCCTCGCCGAAGATGTGTCCAGAGGACGACAGCGGCGTAGACACCCCGGAGACCTGAACAAAAGCAAACAGAGTCCTAGAGTGAGCGAGAGAGGAGAGAACCCAGTGCTAAGGCCCAGGCAGCCGTGGAGACCCCTGCGGAGCCGACCTGCAAAGACAGGAAGACTGCAGAAAAAACGATCAACAGCGAACTCTCACAACAATTCACAAAAGCCTGGCGCAACTGTTGCTGCTGAAGCGCCCGCCTTTGACAGCTGTACAGCTTCTGCATGAACACTCTCACCAGAAGGACCACCAATCCATGACGGGAGGACAACTGGCGCTCAAGCTGTCGGTATTCTTCCTGCGTGCACTCTTGTTCACAGCAAAGCATCTGGGCGAAGCATGGTGTTCCAGACTGTGCGACTGTGCCTGGCTTACGGTGGGCGATGCGGCCACCTACGGAGAAGGCAAGGCGAACACGCCAGCAGCGTGGGCTGAGAAGAGTTCGCGGCCGACTTCTCCCCTCGCCGGAGCTGTGAGTTCTCCTCCTGGCCGGGCTAAAAGAAAAAACCTGCCGTCTCTTGAGGAAAATGAAATGCTTGACCTGGAGGCTTCGAATGACCTCCTTCATGTACCTGGAGCAGCGGCGGATCGAATCTCTCCAGGGATTTTGGCATGTCCATGCGCACGCCATCTGCTGATAGTCGGCTCCTCCTGTCAGGATGCGCATGCTTCAGCAACTCGGGGGTCGTGGGCCACAAACTGTCTGTGCCGGAAACTTGCTGGAGAAAACGCCCAGAACCAAACAGCGCCACATTGCTGTGAGAGCCAAGACGCTTCCTCCTCGTCTACCACTCCTCCCACTACTAGTACTACTACTACAGCTACTACTAC